TGGTTTGGTGGAGGGGGGGGTGGTGGTGGTTTATACAGCTTTGGGGGTGTTCGCGTGCAAAACGATGGGGCAGGTTTGGCGATTCAAAGGCTCAGTGTCAAAGAGAGAGGGGATTAAATAACGGGCACGGAGAAATGAGCAGATATCGGGGCTGAAGGGCGATGTTTTACGTCTCCGTTTGCTGTTTTCCCCTACTCACAACACAGTCCGCGGCTTTTAACTCCTCCTAGGGCATCGCTCCTTGCTCCAGGTCTAGGAAAAAATAACCCGCAGGTATCGGGGCTGCAGGGCAGGGGATGAACTGCGTGGGAGCAGCAAAAAGAGGCGGAGAAGGACCAGGCGGATCACAGATGTGTGATGTTAAATAGCGGAACAACGGGATAACGCTGACCATTAAATAACATTATGCAGCGTGGTATCGCTTTTATTGGCGGTGCTGGGGCAGTACTTTGTTATCCCAGACACGGCGCAAACGTGGGATCACAAGACAACCTTGTTTCAAAGAGCTTATGATAAAAATATAATGTAACCCCTGTGTCTTGGCAGCAGTTGCAGGATTGATACGGTGTTGTCGGGTCCTTGCAAAAACCGGTGTTCTTGCAGGAGTGCCGGGTTCGTGGTGTGTGGTATAAATCACGGCTGAATTTTCCAGTCCCTGGTTAGGGAAACTGCACTTGCAGGAAAAATAGTGGCTGGGTTGCGATCCTGGGCTCAAACTTATTCTGGCAGCGAATCCTGCGAGGGGCTGGCTCTGCAAACGGGGGGTCTGAGCGTGCCGTGCTCCCTCCGCCCGCTCGTATTGTTAGGGAGAGGGCAATACCCACGCATTTCGGATTCCCTGGGTAGCCGGGGGAAATCTGAGCAAGAGCTGGTGCTCCCTCCTCACCCACCCGCCGGCCCACGACGGCTCCCTCTGCATCCCGCAGCGTTCCCCAACGCTTTCCCTTTGCAGCAGCTGGAGCTGCCGCGTTGTTCCCTGTTTGACTGTCCACAGCTCGCTGCGTGTTGTAAATTATTGCTAAATAGGGACTACGAGTCCTCTGGCACGCAACGAGTCATTAAATATTATCAAACATAGCATAACTCCCGCAAAGGCTTATTAGTTTCAACGTACCTCTCCCAGTTTTACTGCTGGCATTTAAAGGATTTTAACAGCAGGGGGATGAGTCTATCCACGTGTGCCAGTGGTGTGGAGGGGGACGGGCAGGCTGGTTCGGGATGTGCCGGTTTTCCCGGCTGGAGCCATCGCTGGGACCCTCCTGGGCAGGTGGAAGA